GCTCGCAAATTGCCCGGTAGCGAAATCAAAGGACCGCGTCGCCGACCGATCGATCGCGGGCCGTTAAAATCGTTAAACGGCCTAACCCGCTTCGGCGACCGGAAGGTGTCGTTTCGTAATTGCCGCGCGAGTCGCATGTTTTATTAACTTATGCATGGATTCTTAGGCGACGCGTTTGTGACCTCATGGGATATTATGACGAGGATACTCAAGACGACACGCTGTCGTAACTATTATATAAAGTCTAATTAATGGATATTATCTAATGGACGGAAGTAGATACACGTGACGGAGGTACAGAATTTTATCACGTTGTATCGAACGATTAATCACTTTTGTATTAGAATAATAGACGTGGGAAATGTTTCGCATGCTCCCGTAATTAATTACAATGATAATTGTAATTAATTGCGCAATGTATATTTATGTAAGTTTACACGAAGATTTTCTTCGCGAGGACGCGATGGAATGCAAAGAATTTCATCGCGGCTCTAGAGTTCAAGGCTATCTCCACCTCGAACGAACTATTGGTCCAACTTTTAATTAACCTCCCGTTATGAGATTAACTCTTCATCCCGCGCAATCCTCGGCTCGCTATATTTACGGCGAGTTGCCGGCTCAAAATTATCTGAAGGCAAATGGAATTAAATAGATCGGTCTCGAATAATTAATAGCGTCACAGTTAATTATTTCAGATACGTGACGAAATTACCTCGTGAAAAAGTTCGATGGTCGCCAATGAAATTACGGTAGTCGCGAGAAATAATAAAGTCGAGCAATCAGTATAATGCCGTGCTATCACGCTATAATTCCTCTGCGATTTATGGACCTTTGACTTACGACGAGGAAGAAACCTATTCGGAATAGCGGTTATATTTGGCGTTATTTCTTTTTATCTTATATTCGCGCGCACATTTTCCTTCAGATTTAATTCGTATTCTTTTAACAAGGAAGATTGAGCTTCGCCTTTCTCGGAAGCCGAGACTCGTTTTCTCGCCGGATGTATTAACTCAATTTAACCGAACGCCGGCGCATCCACCTTCCCTTATTTGCATTTTCATCTGTTTCACGATATATTGTCCGTCCGTTGCTTTCGTGAGCGAACGTCGACGTCTCGTCGCACGCTTAGCGACAATTAAAAACGCATTAGCGCGATGCACCGAGCGGGCTTTTGTCAGCGAAATGCGGTACCAGAGACAGAGAGAGAGGAGGAGAGAGAGAGAGAGAGAGAGAGAGAGAGAGACAAAGAGAAGGAGAGAAGACTCGGTGGTAGCTCGGCAGGCTGCATGAAGAGAGAGGGGGCGGGAGGAGGGGATATAATTTGATACGTTTACCATTTGGTCTTATTTTTGAGTAATTTCGAGTCGCTCTGGGCGTCTCAGCTGCGAAAGCCGCAGCACAAGCTTCCCGTAATTACAGGCCGTCCGACTCGCCTCTTCGTTCCTCCGCGTCGTCCTTCTTCGTCCTCCGCGCTATGTCGTCCTCGTCGTGATCATGGTTTCCTCCTTCTCCTTCTCCTCCTCTTCTCCTTCCTCTTCTCCTCCGCTTCTCCTCCACGCGGCAATGGACGAGTTAAGCACGTCGCTCCGGGCGATGTCTAGGAAGTTCCTAGGGAACCGCTAACGACGAAGTATTCGCGATCTCGTCACGGGATCGATAGGGATCGCGGATCGATCGCGCGTCGCCCACCTTCGTGAAGAATCGCATTTCGAATATAAGACTCTTTCAACGATCATAATCTTCTATTATTGCTCGATTAAGGATTTAAAAAGAAATTTGGAAGTAACATTAGAGCTTGAATTACGTGCGTGATGTGTGCGTCATTAAAACTGAATAATTAAAATATGGTAGCAGATGTTTCTCTATGGTATGATAATTCTTAATAACGTATGATTAAATAATTTCTAACAATATTTTAGATTTCAATTCTGCTTGCTGTAGATCATAAATTGCAAAAACGCGAATAATTATTTGTCACGTTTGCGCATTGTTTTGCACTTTTCTCGCGCCGTTAAACGTAATTCTAGCCGTCCAGCCAACTGATTAATTATTGGCGAAACGCGATTGTTACCTCATACCGGTGGACTGTAATCGTGGTATGCAACATATGTCGCGCGCATTCAAAATCGCAGCCGAACAGAGTCGCAGTAAGAGTCATCGCATTCACTATTCATTACCCACATAAATAGCGATCGCTTCATGCACGAGCGCGCTGCTAATGATCCTTTATTCCGTCGCTGTAATTAGCACCGGTCGTGTACCTGCAGAGAATCGCTCGCTCATGTAATTCGACATAATTTACATTTATTCGGGTTCACTCTCTCTTGTGAAAAACTAGAAGGAAATGCTTGTACAATGCAAATGTAAGATTTAATTTGTAAACCGATATGTCAATAGCAATCAAGACTTGCTTCAAAAATTATGACTACTTCAAAAATTATTAATTTATAAAAAAAAATTAATATAATTCCTTTGTAGGAACATCCGTACGCGAACGTTTTTGCAAATATAAAAAAATATAGCAATTATAATGCTGATTTCTTCAATGGGATTTACGCATGTGGATTATGCGAATTACGCCGGATTGGATGAAGCGACTACATTTTCGTCATCTCAGAATGGCGCTGATTAACGCGTCTATTCGCACGTGAAACGCTTTGATCCTATCAAGAACCTTCGCCGTGCGATTCGCGAGCGAAGGAATGCGCTCGCACGTGGAAGTCCTCTTTGAGCAGCACACGCCCATATGCGCGACGTGTTCATTAAGGCATTCGCTTCGCGACTCTTCTGAGAACGGGAAATGAGCTGTTGAACAAAATAGTGACATAAAGTCATACGCATCAAGAGGTGTGCCACTTAATTAATGCCGTTGAAAAATTCTCCTCTTTCGATCAAAAAAAAAAAAAGGGTGATTGATAAAACGAATTCAACTGGATGTTAAGTATCCTTTCGTGCGGGTCTTTTGTTTTTTGAAATGAAAAAAACGTGGCATATGTACCATTATGATGGAAGGCCACCTGGAATGATAGGTCACATGATAGGCCTGTAAAGTCAGCCATGGAAATTATATGGCAGATTCTTTCGCGATGCAAATGGGATTAATATCGGCATGAGTCGCAAGCGGTCTCTACCCGGATACCAAGTCATACTCAGTCATTACCCAAAGTTACAGGTATCCGAGTATATTGACAGCATTAAATGTAATGATTCATCGGTCAATTGCGATACTACTGGTCGATGCGTTTAACCTACTTCTCGATCACTTTGTCAGCCCTAATGCCGCAATTGAGAATCCGCCGGCCGGCAAAAAAATATGGGAAACGTACAGATGGCTCGAGGATATAGCAGTCGCCGGACTATCCAGCTATTAACTTGTCAGTTTCAACCGCGAAGATCCTAGCGGATAAATTTTTCGCAATGCAAATGATACGATTCACCGTTGCGGCTGGTCGCGTGTACGTTATACCGGTTACTAGCTGTAACCTACTGCGCGTGACTTATTTAGATCACTTTGCGCGCTGACGCTGTAATTTAGAAACCGCAATGAATAATAACACGGAAGGCGCATGCAAATGCTAATTGATGTCGGAGATCGTCACGGGGAGGGACAGAGGAAAGTTCAAAATTTTGCTACATATCGCTACTTCGAGAGTGCGGAGGCTGATTTCTTTCTGAATATTCAACTCGAATTATACTACATGTACATAATTACATGTAATTATACATCAGAATATATCAGATTTTTTTTAAATCTGCACACAAATGGCTTTTCGTTAGATCTTAATCGATCCCGAGGAAATTTCAGTTTGATTTCACCTTTGTATATCTTTCCGAGGATTTCGAAGACTGATTGCCGAGAATCGGATTAACACTCGTATAGCACACAGTCGCGAAGTATAGTCACGCGTCATAGGGAAACCGTACGGGCGACGTGGCGATTTATCGTCCCGAGCTTTCCGCTAAAGCATCTCGGGTGACTTCCGGCAGACGTGGCTATCGGTCGATCGACATGGCTCTTTCGTGGTAGAATACTCAATTACCTGGCCCCAAGTTCCTGACTCTGTACACCTTCTCTCCGCCTCCACGAGTAGCACAGTGTTTCTCTTTTTACCCCCGGCACGCATTGGTCCTACAGTTCGTGAACGAATTCGTGGTTTGCGTGTCGATTATTTATTTTCAAGACGAGCGGCGCACACGGACACCAGCCGGATGACGTCGTGGCATTTAACAATTAATTAATCGTTAATAAATCCTATTTGCCCCCCCCCCCCTTCCTCCTCCCATCCGCCCATGTTAACCGACTAACCATCTGAAACTTTATACGGGCAGCTCCGCGCGTAATTAAATTACCATTTTAATTTGTTGGCTGTGAATTACGCGTTCTTAACCAACATCGATTCATATCGCTGATTCATTATTTAGATTCAACATTTACCTTGCTTCTTAATGATATCTCATCAACATCTCGGTAATTTCGTGTTCTCTTTTTCTCCCTTTTTTTCTCTACTGCACTTTCATCTCATTTTTTAAATTTCAGCAAAAATGGTACCACGATCGTAATCAAGTCGTAATCAAATCCCATTAAAACTTACTAATTAATGCAAATTAAATTTAAATGTTTCCAAACAATATTTAAAATTTCAAAAAGAAATATGCAAAATTGAGAAAATTTTGTGGTACCAATTATTATGAAATTTCACATAGACATAATATGAAGTAAGTTATGAAGAAATTTAAACAAAATCTAAGTGACTAAATGAGTGGATCCTGAATGGATCAAAAACCAGATGGATCCAGTGGATCGTGTTCAGTGTTCATTTGCTACAATCTCACTTTGATAATAGAATAACGTCCGTGAATAACCCTTGACAAATACTATAGCTTTGCCGGCTACAATCTGGTTTTTGATCAGGATCTACTCATTTAGCCATTCGATTTAGCACAAAATTTTTCCAATTTCGCATGCCCCTTTTCAATTTTCTTGACATTGTGTCTCTCAGGTCCTGACATACCCGGCTTCTTGCTTCAACCCTTCAGAAAGCCGAAGAGAATAAGGACGGCCTTCAGTCCGAGTCAACTACTTAAGTTGGAACACGCCTTCGAGAAAAATCACTACGTCGTCGGTGCGGAGAGGAAACAGTTGGCGCAGGCGTTGTCGTTGACGGAAACTCAGGTAAGCATAAGAAATTTTAACGTGAACGTTCTACTTTGATATCATCATCGTAGAGATGGATCAAATCAGACGATCTTACTCAGTTTTCAGTCACAATTTTTAGGAATTTGTAATTCAATCGGGATTGCTTCTATTGCATTTCTAAGAAGCCAATTACAATAATAAACGCTGTTATTATTTGACTAATATGAACGGTTTCAAATAATCGCGTTAACATCATTAAATGTTTAATAAGATTTGAAATCGGTACGATTAATACACTCAATCGTTTGATTGAGAATGATAATTAGATTAAAATTATCTGATCTGATGCACACGCGTTTTATAATCGCCGAGACCGATACGCGATGCAAATGGTATACAGAATTAATAAAGCAATGTCAGTGGCGACTTGACATTAGCATTCTCGTGACGTGTTAAGAAAGATTGATATTTCTTACAAGGATCGCGCCGTGAGAAGAATCGCGTTCTCGCTCGGAGATGCATTCGCGTGACGCGGCGATCCTCATTGTTTTCTCTGCCTGTTTCGCAGTCAGTAATAATCGTCTCATTTGCACTTCGCTCGCGCGTGATACACTCTTGATTCATAAAAAAGAAATTACCGTCGCGGCGATATAATACTTCTGACACTTTGTAGACGAGACACGCAAGAAATAAAAGTTATATATTT